GCTCACAATTCGATGACAATGCATTATAAATCCACAAGAGGTTGAAAATTCCACCCCTAAGGGGGTTAAATGGGGTCGATTTCTTGTTCGTCGTTCTGGGTGGAATCTTGCAATTCAAAAAGAATTATTTCTCACCCGCCAGAAAAAATTATGCATGGTGCGTTTGGGCGTGAACGGTGCTCAAATATGAGCGGTACCAGGTTCGAACCCGTTCCCATCATTACACTTTTTTGCATTTTCTTACAACTTATCAACTTTTATGATAATTTATACAATAATAAATCTAAAATTATAAGCTTTTAAATTGATTACTAATTCTTATTATAATCCTTCTGACCATGCAGCCTTTTTTAATGTAATCACCGATTAGAGACGAAATGGACGGATTTTATTATATAATATTGTAATAATATTATTTATATGTAAAATATATGTATAATAATATGTATATTCATTATATAACATTGCACATTTAAATATATAGATACGTACATACGAAAACGAAAAAGAACAAAATAACTAAAGTAGATTAAAAATTAATCTAAAAATAACGTTTTTATGCGCTTTAAAAAGTATGAAATAACTTTCCGGGGGTCTTGATAACCAAATAGGACAGGTGAACTAGAAAAACGTTGGTCACATCTTTACTATTTCACACGTCTGAATATATAATAACATTCTCTTCTCATTAATAACTACCTTAACTCATAATTCATGCACAATCATCTTTTCTCTTCTAAATAAAATAATACTTAATGACATGTCATGTAAAATTGAGCACCACATTACTTTAAATGTTAAGCAAGTAGGTAGTTAACAAAAAATTTGAAGCAACCTACATAAAACAAACTTTGGAGAGAATAGCAATTAAGTCTTTCCAACTCGCAATGAAATTTAAGGCAAGTGGCACGGAAATTCATTAAATTTCATTTCCGATAAAAAGTCATACTATCACTTTCTGATCCGTTCGGTTAGAGAGACAGCATTATGAGAGACAACTTAATAAATTAGTATGAAAGCTTAGGTTTTAATATCTAAGTAGAAAGATGCGCCCCACGTTTTTCTAGTTCACCTGTCCTATTTGGTTATCAAGACCCCCAGAAAGTTATTTCATACTTTTTAAAGCGCATAAAAACGTTATTTTTAGATTAATTTTTTAATCTACTTTAGTTATTAATCACCGATTGTTAAAATAACTGTTATTTTAACAATCAGTGTGATTTTCAAGACAATTTTCTAATAGGGAATTACGCGATACGATCAACAAACTATATCACGAAATTGCTTATGCCACGAAAATACCTTTCTTCACCCTACATGGGTATTGTTAAAATAATGGAAAAAACATTTTTGTATTTAACGCAAAATATATTAAAGTTACTCATGTATAAATATATCGGTTTGAAAAAACAACAGAAACTGTAGGAATGCCTACACGTTTTATAAAAGTTATATAATATCATCTGATTTGAATTTAAGCCAAGGAACAAAATGTCTATTTGAAACATGAAATAATGAGTCACAGCGAATGTACACGTCATTATATGACCTTTTTATACACCGTCTGGTGTGGATAAATAAATGTACTACAATTTTGGGAAGGTTAGGTTTTTTAAAGCCATGTCCAGTTAAAGTTGACGGTTGAAACCGGTAAATTTTTTTTGGTTTTTCTCGGTTTTGAGGTACTACATGAGTAAATTGGTTCACAGAAAAACAAATGTTATCGTGTTAAAAAAGGTATACAACAATAAAAAAATAAAATATGCTTTGTATTTGTCTTGCAAATGTATCACGGTGCTATCGAATATATTATCCAAGAACGTAACAAAACATGTTTTGGCAAACGCAACACTGAGCCGTGAAGAAAATACTTATTTTACTGTTCATTCGTCGTTCGTCTATGGTTTGGCACCAGTACTACAACTATCTTTAATAGAATTCTTATTATAATTAAGAAAAAAAAATATATATAATATGCATTTCAAGAGCGCCATTATTGTCTGCGCGGTGTATTTCCTAACGTCGGCATGGGTAAGCGTATGATACCTACTATATCTGTAACAACTGTCAATAAGTGTGTAAGTTGAATTTTGGTCATAGTTGACTAAGTACGCTAGGATGTAGTCCGAGGCGTCTAGCATTATTGAATAAATGTCTAACTCATTGGACCAACAAGAAAACCTTGAGAGAGATGTAAGCTGTTATTGTCTAAGATGGAATTTATGGCAGCTGCGGTCAAAGTTTAAAATCGCCCCCTTGTAAAATCACTGAAATCGACTTACACACTTATTCACAGTTGTTACAGACATATTATACACCCTTCTCGGATAGTATAAACTCAATATATTGAATACATACCGATCATGTACGATACTTTAATGTGGGAAAATCTGCCACGTCATTGGCAATACGTTCACGCAGTAAGTTTACCAATAAAATTGATAGCTGTCTTACTTTATTTTAGAGCATCGGACTTAACAGTGATCAATTGATACAGGCAAATAAACGGTTTGAAACTGACAATAAGTGTAAGAATGGAATTTGCGAGGAGGAATTCAAAAAATTCGTGACAGAATACTTTGGAATAGCATGGAAACGTCCTCAACATTTAGGATACTATTCGAGTAACATACTGATAAACAATTAAATTACCTATACTCTGGACAATTTAAGTCAACCGTTAATATGGCCGTCGAGGGCTTTACAGTTTGCACTCGGTTAATTAATATTTGTTGAACTTAATAGATCATACCGGGTGATTCATTTAACGCCCTACACGAGTTCACTCTTATAATAATTGCAATTTATTTTTTAATGTTGCCTTATGAAAATATTTTTATTTACGTTTTAGCACAATATTAAAAAATATACAAATTTTAATTTTTTTTTTAGTAATTGTTAGAGGTTTATCAACTTTTGAAACTTAAATAGTAATTTGTAATTTTATAGTTATTAGTTAGAACATATTATATTCGTTATACGTTAAAACCGTATAAACTTAAGTTTTTTAAATGGTAAGGTAGTTAAATGATTACCTTTTTAAATTAAAAATAGTTCGCTGAACATTTTGACTGTTCGATAACCAATTTGGAATACATTTTTTGAAAAATTATTAAGTTTAAAATGAAGGATGGGAGGTAGGGTGCAGTTGAGTATTGCACGCAGATTAAAATAACTGTACACAGTAATCAAAATAGTTATTATGTGTAAAAATTAGATAATTTTCCGTCTTTTCTAAAAAATGCTCACTCTTTTTTTTATTTTCTTGGCGTTTTTATGTAGAACCCAACTTAAAATTTACATATTCTATGTAAAATTTCCTGAGCTGTTGGGAAAAAATGATTAGAAAACGTCTCAAATTTTGGAAGAACACGATAAAATAACTTTTAAGATTAAAAAATAAATTTTAGTGACTTTTGTTACTCGAAAAAATAAATCAATATTTTTTTCAGAAAGCTGGGATTATTTTCATAAGAAACTGATTTTTAATCATTTTTTTTGATGGCCGAAGATACCATAAAAAAATTATAAGTCACGAAAGAAACTAAAAATACTTTTTACGACCATGGCCATAGTAATCCAAAAAAATCGAAAAAAAATTTGAAAATATATTTTTATCATAACAGACATGTAGGGTAATATTCAACAAAATTCGAAGTGGGTTCTCAGAACTTTTGTCTATATTTAGCCTTTTGACCCATGTCCAGGATGTCTATATAAATGAAATAACTTTTGTTTTAGTGAATATATTAAAGATTTTTTTTTTAAATTAATTTATAATAATTTTCGCTATAAACATCACGTTTTTTATTGCACTTACCTATTTTACTTTTTAAAATTATTTAAACATTTTTTTTGTTACATTAATTTTAGTAAATTTATGATGGCCATTTTATTAAGAATAATTTACTGAAAATGTTGATAATCAGTTTTGAATAATTTTTTTTAAGTTATTTAAGGTTAAAGGTAAGATGGGAGGTGAAGTGCGGTAGAGTTATTCGTGCAGATAAAATTAACTAGGCGTTTACTCTACCGCACTCCACCTCCCATCATACTCCCATTATGCCCTTTAACTTTTAATAACCTAAGAAGTAATTATCCAAAACTATTTATTGACCAGTCAAAATTCTCAGTAATTTATTTTCAATAAAATGGCTATCTAGAATGTTTAAAAAAATTATTAAAAAAGTAAAACAGTGTAATACAAACCGGGCTGTTTATAGCGCAAATGAGTGTAAATTAATTAAAAAAAAAAATCTTAAAAGTAACACTAGAACAAAAGTTATTTAATTCGTGAGGTCTTTGTGAGACACCCTGTATATACAAATAAAGGTTTGACACCTGTTATTTGGGTCTGTGGTAATTCGGAGATAAAGCAGCCGGAGTGACATACACATAATATCGCCGCCACGGTAGAACAAAATTTACAATGACACAACTGCAAAATTTGATAAAACGGACTAAATGCTTCAATGTGTTTAGATATAGCAAACGCATAAGGTAGAATTATGATGTAACTGTAGTTATGTACTGGCCAAGCCCCAATTTCATAATCAATTGTGCATTCATAAGTTATTGATATGAAAACAATTTGGTTTTTGGTTCTTGTGTAAAATTTCAATTATTGCAGTTTTGTCATTGTTCTACCGGGGCGTCGATTTATTAAAACATCGCAATATCTGGTTAATTATATTAGCATATAAATGGTAAGATGTCAGCTAATTAGTATGTAGTTAAATGCGAGTGCTGTCCACCGGTATGAGACTTGTCACTCCTTCTCCTTCAATTATTATATAATTATATTTGTAATGCGTACCCAGCCCAAGGTGCTGTCTACAAATACGGCTTTATAGGTTTAGTTTGGCAGTAACAATAGCTACCAGTCATGGGTATTATTATTTTTGCTAATCATATTATGTCAGGCAAAAAGACAGCGTTACAACTTATTTATACAAAAATAATGACTTAATTACTAACTTATCAATTTGTATACAGCTGATTCCGATTGTTTGAATGTATGTCGTTTATTGAAGAAGTTGGCAGAAAACGACAAAAGCTCCGACAAAACCAAGGTATTTAAGGTCTCAAATCAACTAGTTTAAATTTAAAATGAAATATATATACATCGATTATTGGAAAATATCGAATTGTGATATAATCTACGTTCGTTTCGTGTGATTTTCTTGTATTATTCTTATTCATATTATTACTAGAGTCAGCTGAAATGTGATATATTTTTCAATAATATAACCCTTATGTGTTAGATATAAATTTATAAATTTAAAATTGTCAAATAGTTTTATTTTACAGGGTGATTTTTAGCATGAGACTCATTTTCTTATAAGTAAAATGGTGATTTTGTAGTGTTATATTTTTTTGAGAAAATTAGTGACTTATCTTTAATGAAATACCCTGTAAACGAAAGGTAACTTAGGTTTAAAATTAGGACGAGAAATGAAGTAATATTAAACTTTATTATAATTAAAAATAGTTGCTCAAAATCGGTTTTCGACCAGTCGAAATTGACAGCGAATTATTTGCTATTTAAAAAATTAATAACATATATACGTTACCGTTTGAAAAGCTCAAGTTCATAGGACATTACATATTAGGGATGGTGTTGTTATTTTATTGAAAACATAGGTAATTTAAATTGGACGAACTGTTAGCTAAATAAATTTAATATGTTAAAGATATTTTTTAAGATATTGATTGGGTCATTGCTGTTAAAAGTAATCCATAGTACAGAGCCTGAAAGTATAAATTGTTTTCAGGATAAAAAAATACTCATGCCATTAGAAGTAAATTTGTACGTTGATGAGTTCATGAAAGTCGCCCAATCTCATGAACAACTGGGATTTCTTACTCTGCGACAGCTATCAGAAGTATTTAATTATTGGAAAACGATGAATGATACATTGAAACTAAAATCAGAACATCTTAAAAGCGGAAAAGGCGGTAATGCACATAAGCCGAACAGGCGCTACACTAGATTTAGACAATTTTTAATTCCTATTTCAATTTTAGAAGGCTATGTATTGTACGTGGCGGAGTTCTTGTTGATCATGTTGGATATTAAACGGCCAGTAAGTGCAATACTCATGTAAAAGGGGGAAAATAAAATCGTTGGATACATTAAAAAGAAAACTTCTAAAATAACCAACTTAAAAAACCGAGCACATTCCAAACCAGCACAGTAAGGAATTACCAAAGTGGGGTTTAGTATCTACAGATTTGCATCAAAACGTTTTCTTCAAACGATTAGAATAAAATTAAAAAAATCTGCAACAGCAGTTGTCTGCCTCTAAGAAAATTTGGCGGTTACTATGGAGAGGTTTGTAGGGTTTTCCTGGTTTCGCTGACTTTCCCTACTTTTAACTCACCGAAGTACCATCTGCAAATAATTTTGGATCTAAAAGTGGTGCTAAACGTAAATCGGTCAACATGAAAAAATGTTATCGTGTCTACAGACACAGAAAAGCAGATTTCCAATTGTTTTTTTTAAATGTAAATTTGTTTTGTGATTAATAACATACTGAATTTAAAGTTGTTAATTCTATAATAGTCTCTAAAATCCACAATTATGGAGCTTAAGTCACTATTTGGATTTTTTTTTTTACACATGTTATAGGTACATGTTAGACCGATCTTCAGACTAATTTTCCGCTCTTAAAACCTAAATAACGCGTAAAAAAATTGAAACAAAAATCTTGAAACCCCCCAGGGGCGGGGGATTGTCGAAACTTGGGTTCAGACACAAAAAAAAACATTATTTTCAAAACCATCTCCTTCTATGCTATAGCATCGATGCTTAGAAGGATTTTCGAGAAAATACAAAGTACAAGCATTAAGTATTTTTATTTATTAAAAACTATGTTTAATATATAAAAAGAACTTTTTCCACACGAAAATAACTAATATGAAAAAAAATGGTTAACAATTTACAACTTAAAAAAAAAAATAGTAAGTGAGTATATTATTGTAAGGGAGATTCAGTGTTCACGGGTAAAAATACAAATAATGTTAAAAGCATTGTACCTAGAGACATTTTTGTGCTTAAGGCCCCTGGATACGGACGATGTTTAAGGAGTTTTGTGTAGGCAATATTTAAGAAAAAAGGGGTTTTAATAAATTTCGACCATGTTAATTAATTTACCGGTTAATTTATATGAGCTTCATGGGTATTATTTTTAATTTAAATCATTTTGTCTACGAGTAAAGCCATTTTAGTTAATGTAATAGTACATTTTTTGTCCATCACACAGGCTGAACCAGTGATCCGATAAGTAATCTGAAAACGGATTTAAATTTGTCATGAAGTTAACTTGAGATCGGTCAGCGTACCTTTTTGATATCTTATTCTTACTACGCATAAAACGTTTGAACATTTTATAAAATTTCAAATTATCCTTCTGTAATTATAACTTGTCATAAGATGGACGCCAAACCACCTATTTAATTTAAGTTTCAAGCAGAGGCAATTTTTTGAAAAATCTTAATTTAGAGCTATAACTATAGTATATTATAATACTTGTTAATACAGTAGGTAATGAGAATTATTTTTGTATAGAATTTTTTAATATAAATTAAATTGTTTTTCTACATCAATCCCATTTTCGTAGTTCTAATACTGTGAAGTTTTAATTGATCAAAAAGCCAAAATTTCTTCAAAATATTGTCATTTATAAAATAAAGAGTCTAGTGATGATTTGTCGGAACAGGATTTTGAAAATAATGCCACAAAACGAGCCTTACTGGTTACTAAGCTTACCAGCATAGCTGATCCTTACTGCTAAACTATGACATTTAATTTTTTTTTAAACAGTCTAACATAAAGCTTGTATTAATACTTTTTACATATGTTATAGGGCAATGGTCTGACCCTAGCACAAATAAAAAAGTTTGGTATTTTGTACGAAGCTCAAAAGACATCCGGTAGAATTGATCCTGCGAAAAGTGAAAAATTGTTCAATGATCTTGGTATAACCGTAAACAACGAATTGAAACTGCTATTTAAATCGGATGGTCAGAATAAAAACAATTTCTTTATTATAATATTACTTATTATGATAAAAAATTGGACTAATTATTAAAACTCACACAGGACGCGTTGGAATATTGTTGATGGATTTAATCATGGCTGCGGCAGAACGCAATAAGATTTTAATGGAGAATGTAATTTCGTTTATAATTTTCTGTTTTATACATCTTAAAGTTATTCACTGCTATATTTGTTATACTATCTCACCTATTATACATTTTTACATTATCAATTTCTTAGGATTTAAGGGTGATAAGTCCAAGCGAGGTCATGTATGCCAGAAACGACTTCAATGAGTTTGACGATAGTAAAGACGGTGAACTGTCTCCTAAAGAGTATGCCGACAACAAGGCATACTTAAACCCTATTTCAAAATCAATGGAACAGTCGGCAAAACCTATTATTAAAAACGTAAACTTTGCGGAATTCTTGGAAATGCTATAGTTTGTTGACGAACATGATAGCGTAGAAGACTCTATGACATCAAGTTTTAATTCCTATATTGATGAATCACAATCTTAAACAATATTTGAAATTATGATATATTATAATAATTAAATATTTGAAATATTTTTATGTATTTATGAATTGAAATATACGGTGTCTAATAAACCTTTTCCGTTTTATATATTATGGATACATATGAGTTCTAACTACTGACAAATTTTCAATTTAAAGGTCCTAAAATTACGCCTAAAAAACTAAAAAACAAAAATACTTGTACCCCCTAACCTAACCCCCTAGGGGGTGGAAAATGGGTATGATTTAAGTTTGATACGTAGATGTCACAGGTTTCAAAACCCAACGACTTTTGGTCGTTTGTAAACGGTTGGTAATGTAGACGAAAGACAAATAACTGTTAGGATTACACAAGTATTTTTCATCACTGTCTTGTATTCTAGTTGACAACTTTTTGTTATTGTGTTCATATCTCTAATAAATTAATTGAATTCGTCTTTATTCTTTAATTTATTGCAGCTAAGAAAATATTATTGATGTACCTTTATTAAATGTAATATTAAGTAATAATTATACATGTTTAAATTAGGTCGATTAATTCACATAATATTTTGTTTTAATATACAAAGAAGTTGTTCGCATTAGCTCTTAGAACATCCGGGTTCTACGGTCATGATAAAAAATAGTTCAAACATTTGAATATGTATCCATACAAACCATACATACTATACAAACAAAAAAACAAAATACGCTAATAAAACACTTGTTTTTTATAAACAACGTGCCCTAAAATATTGTATGGTATTATTTTTAAATTTAGCTATGTATTAAGACATATTATTTTGTACGTAACATTTTTTTATAAAACATAGATTTAGAAAACTTATTATAATACACAGTGAATTTTTCAAAAAAATGGTTACTTTTGGATATTTTAAAATTATACATTAAATTTGTAGATATTAAATCTATTACTACTGTTAAAATTTGAAACTGCCTAAAAAAATTATTCATCGTTGACAGAATTGGTGCTCAGTGACATTGGTTTATTTCACCTAAATTAAAACAATTGTTTTAGCCAGGATTTTGTTTAAGAAAGATCCAAACTTCGATTTATCGAAATTAAAAAAATATGTATTAGACTATAATATATATTTTTATTTATATATATAAATATATACATTTTAGACAATACATAAGTGTGAAAATATCATTTTTGTAACGGGTTTTCTCAAGAAGCACTATTCCGATCTATAGAGCATAGCATGGAGTATATTTAAAGTAATAGAATCATAAAAAAAAGTAAAATCTAAAAGCATAGAAGGGATTTAAACTCGGTCACTGAACCGGTTTCTTCGTGTAGCAATTATTGGATTTTTTACTAATTAACTTTTAATAAGGAAAACCTAAAAAGGGGAAAAATGTACACTTTCATCATTGTCAATCATTAGGTTGCTATGTGTATGTAAATAAACAGTCAACGTGTATTGGAAAATATTTCTATTATATTGTTAATTAGGTACGATACATGAGTATCTTTATTCCTAGACTTACTTTAGGATTTTATACACAGATGTCATAATACTATGTTGTTTTCAACTGCTTTATAATTTGAATATTTAGAAAAGCAAAATATAAGACATTTGTAATAATTTGTGAAAATATTGGTATTTTGAAAATTAATTTTTTTATATACTTGTAGGTATATATTTTACTGTATTTTTCAATACCTTTAGAACTTAATATTGAAAATTTGTATCTTCATCCCGTATACGTCAAATAAACATGAACTTCGTTTTTCCAAATGGAAACATATGTTCTTAGCTCCATAAATATTATGTAGACCGAAGAAAAAAATATTTCAGCGTTTAATTTTTTAATTTTCATCAATCCGATCGACTTTGTAAAGGTAATACATTTACTTATATTTTTTAGGCTGTCCAAAAATACAGTAGCCGTCGTTATCTCGATTAAATTGCAGTTTCAACTGCAATACGTTATAATTATGTTAAATAAATTCAAAAGTATAAATTCATAACAATATTAATTACTAAATTACTCGTTATTTATTTTTTCAACAATTATTAATTCCCATTAATTGTAGAAAAAAAGTTGTGACTTGTGATGTAAAATATCATAATATATTTACGAAAGAACCCAAATATTTTAGTCGGCAATTCAAATTTTAAAGTCGACATCTTCATTTTGCCAACCCTCCCCCACCCCCTTCCATTGCATATTTATTAGCCCCTGATCAAATGTATAATAAATAACAACAAAATAAACCGTAAAATGATAAAAAAATTTACCATAGATATATTTTAGCATGGCGGACCATTTAAAATGATCTCTGAAAAAAAACCTACCAATCAATGGGCTATTTATCCGAAAACGCCTTAATTATTCCTATATTAGTATTAATGTGTCGGGAAAAAGGGACATTTTCTTAAAAAAACCACAATCCCGTTTTTAACGGGACGTATAGTCACCCTAGCCGCCCGCCTTAATATAAAATTCATTTATATTGTTAATAAAATTTGTTAAAATCACTTTCTAAGAAACGCGTTGATTTTTATTGTTAACATTGCACCTCACTTTAATACGTTCTTACTGTGCTGGTTTGAGTATATGATTGTAAAACATTTGATAAACCCATTCCTCGTGACGATGGGGTGGACCCTTTTTCTTTATATCGCTGTTTTAGATTAAGTTTTAGGCTAAAATACTGATATTTAGGCCGAAGGTAGATTTAGAGTAGGACTATAATTTATACCAATTTTTCAAAAATCTGGTAGTCAAACTTTATTAAATATAACAAAAATTATCCGATGAATCATTAGGAAAGGCAGACGATAATTTAAGGAAAACAAGTTGTTTTTTCGCAATTTATTAATTGTGTTTTTAAACGTTTGAATTTGCTTGAACGATAATACCATATTATTACAAATATTATAACAAATACAAATTTTGTCTAAAGACCAATCATAACACTTAAAAAAAATTGTTTTTCACCTAAGTATGTTTGGTGTCTTGTAAACACATTTTTTATTATTGTGTTTATAATTCTCATTCTCCGATCTCTTTATGTATTAATTTAATTCGCGTTCAATAGTATTGTTATACGTTTTCTATACAAACAAATGAAATGTAATAAAAGTAATAATTATAAACGTTTTGATTAGGACAATTTAATAAAATAATTTTGTATGTTAATACATCCAATCTATTACAATCTCGAAACTCCCAATAAAATTATTCATCATTGATTGATGAAACTCGTTTAGGGTGAATTGATATTTCCTAAAGTCTGAGGCATCTCATAGACCTAAAGTTGTAGTACATCCAAAGTGGTAGTTTTGGCACTGTAGGTACATTATTATTTTGTTATAAGACGGTTGTGTAAACAAGTAGTACATTTTTTGTTTTTGTTAAACCGCAAAACAAATACTGTTTTTCAAGATTCGTAGCCCGTAGCCAAGATTATTTTTTTAATGTATCATACATTTATTGGTCAATATAATATTAATAAATGTATTAAATTGTCTCATTTAATTACAATAATCCTAAAATAGATATTATTTGATATTTCAATAGTTTTTTCAGAGATTCTTGCGCGTGTAGCTAAAATCGTAAAACGCTACACGCGGTCAGTGGGGACACTACATATTTATTTCTATACTGTTGATAAAATCGCTAATTTGCTAACACGCTACACGATATCGCAAAAACGCAAATCACTCTCAGCGGGGCCTTAGCTGTAGTTTGTGTAAAAAACGAGCATGCATGCTACGGACGTCACACGCGAACTCGAGGTAAATAAGTAACATTGTTTTTTGGTTTAATAAGTAAATAAATAAGAAAATGTATAATTCACTTAAAAATTTCAAAAAAATGTAATTATTATTGTTATAAACTGTTATTAAATATTTATTATTTCAATTAATAGGTGTTCTCTGTTATAATAACCAGACATTCCATTGGGTTGAATTTGATTTTTATTAAAACGATTATGATTTTATATTAAGTGTAAATTTTACTTATTTTAATAGATTTCAATATGTGACGACTTTTTAACACTTTAAGAACCCTACTCTTTATTTCACTTTTTCAAATAAAATTCAAGGGATTTAGGTCTGCTGATGTATTATAACTTTAAATCTATAAAAGGCACCTGTCTTGGAATTTGCCATCTCGATTTACCCTAGTGAAGGTTAGGTTAGGTTAGGTTAGGAGTTTAGTTAGTGTTAGGAGTTAGGTTAGTGGAGTTTCATCCATACGCCGAATTTTAATTATCTTAACAGATTTCAATTCCTGACGAGTCCTTTAAAACTTTAATAGCCATGTTTATATAATTGTACCTAAATACTTTATTACTTAATTGCTCAATTCTAGCTTTGCACTTTTAGAGTCATAATAAATAACACGATTTTTTAATTAGTAATTCCTCATGTGACACCTGTAGATTGACATCGAAGTGAATTTTTCTAAATATAATTACTCATAGTTATATTTATTTCTGAACACCATTCACTTTCTTGACTGAGTTTATATCAACGTATATTCAAATCAGATGATATTATATAACTTTTATAAAATGTGTAGGTAGTCCTACAGTTTCTGTTGTTTTTTAAAACCGATATATTTATACATAAGTAACCTTAATATGTTTTGCGTTAAATACAAAAATGTTTTTTTTCCATTATTTTACAATAGCCATGCACATTATTTTTTTACTTATTTACTATACCTTTAGGTATTTAAAATGCCTCTGTCCCTAGGAAGACTTGTATTCCTAATAAATAATAAAAAAACTATTGAAATATCAAATAATATCTATTTTAGGATTATTGTAATTAAATGAGACAATTTAATACATTTATTAATATTATATTGACCAATAAATGTATGATACATTAAAAAAATAATCTTGGCTACGGGCTACGAATCTTGAAAAACAGTATTTGTTTTGCGGTTTAACAAAAACAAAAAATGTACTACTTGTTTACACAACCGTCTTATAACAAAATAATAATGTACCTACAGTGCCAAAACTACCACTTTGG